TGTGATAAGCTAAGTCTGTAATAGTGAAATTTAAACACAGATTGGAAAGGTTTTAGATGTAAAAATGTACAAGGGATGTTAATTTAACATCTGCATATTGCATGTCTGAAAGTCTGTTGTGTGTTTAACTGGTGAATTGAAATATATTGAAATATATTGAACCTACTTGATTTATTGTAAATAGGTGGGTAGTCTAATTCTTAGATGTTAAATCAGTTGAATTGAGATGCACACGTGGACTTATGTTGACACAAGTTTACAATTTGAAAGTTACAGCATGTGGACCAGCTAGAAAGTGTGACAACAATGTGGGAATAATCTTCCCCGTGTGTACAATTGTGTGCAATGTTTTGGATACAAAGATTTTGTATGAAATGTGTAAATAGCAATATATGTATGTAATTTGAGTTGAAAAGTTGAACACACTAACAAAACAAGCGTTCAAACCTGCAAGGCAGGCTTGCATTTTACACCCAATGAAGTTGGGAATTCAATTACTTAGCTGAGATTGGGGTGAAAGTGATACCTTTGTTTGCGACTGAACTTTATTTATTTCATTGAAAGGAGCATTTCATACTCTGATGTTTGCACATCGCTTTTTTATTTTTGCAGTGGGAAACATTTAAAAAAGAATATTTATCTTGTACGGCACTCCAAAGAGGACTTGAAACTCAAATTACAAATAAACGTGAGAACTCAAAAGTATGAAATTTATCAAGAAAAATAGCTCATTAAAATATTTTTGAGCCCTAGTGAAAGTTTAGAATTAAGTAACCTTCAAATACCAATATGCTGCTGGACTAGGTCTGCAATGAAGAATAATTCCCCCCAAAAATTGTAGGGTTTTCTGATTTCATGGGGTTATAATTTCTAGGAGCAACGCGTAGTTGGTGGCATATTTTCAGGAGTGTTTTGAATAAGAATGGATTTTAATTTTAGCTCCATCTTTTAAAAATTAAGGTAGCATGTGCATGCTGAATGCTGCTTTATGTGAGGCAGCTGCTCCTCAAGTGTTCTCATTCTTAGTTTTTGAATGTGGCATCTGTTAAGATCATCGCAAACAATTGTTTAACCTGTTAAGATGCAGTAATCCCAACAGATCCACCTGTTTGCTAGCTCATGATTGGTCTGGTAAGTCCATCTCAGTCGTAACCTCGGACTAAAGAAAAAAAGAAATTTCATTGTAATTTGTAAGCGCACCTTTTAACAAGATTAAAACATCCACTTGATATATGTTTGGGCATTTGAGCATTTGCAGATAATCTTGGCTAGAAAAGCTTTTTCATGTACTTTGTAAATGATATGTGCTCCAATAACTGCAGTGACAGAACAAAGGAAAACTGATTATAATTGAGGAATGGAAATTAACCGATCAGTAGCCAGATGACCTGTGGTCACTAAGTGCTAGATATCATGTTGCTGGAATAAAGTGCTCTGATAATTATTGGGAATTGAACTACCCATGATTAATAGCTACCCTGGGTAGTAATGTACATAGATTTCATTATAATGCTTGAATCACTACTCTTCTCTACCCTCCCGTGCAGTTCTCTCGTTAGAAACGCAACACCCTCTCCCCAACAGCAATCTCCTTTCACCCCATACACTCTACCCCCACCTTTAGACATAAAAGTTGACACTGACAGGTATATTAGTTGATTTTTTTCATGGTGCAGCGCTGGGAGGTGAGACAAAAAGATGGTAGATTAAATGCTTGGAGCTCATTACAAGAGATGGAGGGTAGAGTTTTTGAAACGCAAGCCTCTTGTCAGTCAGTTCTCCACTGCAGCTATTTGCAAGCACGTCAGGCTATATTCATCACAACATGCATCAATCCCCTGCCAAAGTGCATCAGCCAAATTTTACTGATGTGGTTATGTTAGTAAAGATTGGCCCATTAATCAAGATCTTTTGAATAAAGTAATTAATGCAAATGTCAGTTCTTGTAAGCCACTGGGTGAAATGTTACTGCCCATGCAATTCCATAATCTGCACTACTGTACTTTGGCTCCTGGTGTAAGATTTTGAGAATTTGGTTTAGCTTTCAAGTTAAAAATCGTGATTCAAAACAAAATCCATACATGTGACGCACCACAAAGGTTAAAGTTATTTACATTTCTGCAAAGATAATAATACAGAAGATGGTTGATGGCGAACTAATCCAACGCACAGCTATTGCTGTAAAATGCTGCTGAATACAGTATGTCCTGTCAGTAGTCAAGGAGATAAATCCATGTTATAGTTTTTTTGCTGTGGGGAGAAGTATGGAAATGATCTATCAAATTTGTTTGGCTTTACTGGCCTTTTGACATTTTTCTCATGATAATGTAATTCTGTAGGCGACCTATTCTCCAGAGTGAGACCCCTGAAAATCGAAAATCTTGACACTTATTTGGCTTTCTTTCCTCATGAATAAAAGAAAACGGTAAAAACAAGGACATATTTATCATCACAGTCAGTTTGACATGTTACGATGTCATGGTAAATGGGGCATTTGATATCTTTATACATAACCAGCTTTATGGAAATGGGCAGCATCACAGATGTCATTTATCCTCACTTTTGTACCATGGATTTTTCTGCACATAGTTGCACACACCCACCCACACATTTATGAGATAATAAATTTGGTGATAATAATAATAAATTTGAGTCTGAAATTCATTAAAAAAAGTTCAGTAGACTATACATAAAAGCAAGTACTTAAGAATACAATTACCAAGATATGTCAAAAGGAAATATTAAGAAAGATTAAGATTCTTCATCAAGATGGCCTAATTCTCCCATAAAACCCATTACAATTAGGATAATCATAAAATTTCCTTAAAAGATATGTCTTTAACTCCCTTTCAAAATTAGCAGTTGATTCACTTGAGTGGATTTTAGTTGGTAGCATATTCCATTCCATTTGACCAGCTAATTTAAAAGAGATGTTCCCATAAGTTTTTACAGGTTTCAATAATAGTTGGTCTACTAATCGCACATTTCTGGTAGGAACAACTAAAGATTGTTTAAGTAAGTTGGTGCCACTTCATAAAAAGCGTCATGGACAAAAACTTACCATTAAATAAAACCTTGCCTTGGAATGGCAGCCAAGGCAGTTCCTTTTAAACTGGTATAATATGATTGTCCATAGATGTATGAGTTGATAATGTAGCAAAAATGTTTTGAATACGTTGTAGTCTTTTTATCTGTTTCTTGGGACATCCATATAAAAAAGTTACAATAATCCAACTTAGAAGTTATCAAAGAATGTATGACTATAACTTTGGTAGAGTCTGAAAGGTGGCTTAGAATTCGACATATGTTCCTCATGTCATATACTGAAAACTTGCATGTAGTAGAAGTTTGTTAATTCGTGGAAAGTGTTCCGTCTATAAAAACCAATTCTTCGTGTGGGACTTTGTCTTGGTGACACTGGCTCTGATTTTGAGTTCAATTTCCTCTGATATTTTCTAGTTGTGTAACTGGGTTATAACCAGAGGTTCTGTGAGCATTTCCATCATTGATTTTCAACTTGGATATCAACCGAGATATTTAAACTTCATGAAAAAAATACATTTATTGTATTGCATTTGATGCTAACATATACACTCCTGGGGGAAATAATTTAAAAGAAGCAATCTTGTGGACAGAGAGCTTCTTCATGTGACATAATGGACATTATTATATGTAATAATGAGGTTTCAATGTTCAAGCTGATATTAGAGATTACATCTGTATACAAGTGCCCTTCTTCCCTCCCTCCCTCCCTCTCTTTCTCTCTCTCAAGAGCTAAAACTGTGATGAACAGTTAAATGTCATAAAGCAAGGGATAATATGTAGGTTAGGACTAAAGGTGCTTGATTAGGATTTCATACATGTGGATTGGCGGGAGGAGGACCTTAACTGGTCCAGGAATCCTGTTTGGTTTTACAGCTTGATTTTATGAGGAAATTAAGAGAGAGCACTGCCCAGGCAGTGCATGTCTTGAATATTTTCTGGCTATACATCATGGCAGTTTGCAGAAAATTTTGGAATTGGTTGTAAGAATTTTTAAAAAGTTATATAGTATGTGTTCTTATTTTTTGGTGAGCAAAAAATAGCATTGAGATTTGCAGTGTGTCTGATCATCAAGAGGAATCTTATTTCAATGCACTGCAAGTTCAGTCAAATAATACAATATCGCAAGTGAACTTGGATTGAAAAAATTGTTATGAATTTCAAGGGCATCAAGAAGAAAATGTTAACATTTTCTAATCAGAGTAGATCTGACAACATGATATTTACTAAGTTGGACAACAATATGATCATAAATCTGGTAGCAAAAGAGAATGTTATATTTGTCACTGTGATTGACTGAGACATTAAACTGGATCCACAAATGTAATAAAAACAGTGATGGATGGGTTTGTGAAGGGACGACATTATGGATTTTGTTTATCAGACCTACTACAGAATGAAATGTAGGCTGGAGCAGTTTGTGGACAAGACGATAAGAACATTTATGTGGCCTGGAAAAAGAAATTCAAATACAAATAATGAATCCCTGTGTGGATGCAGGAAATTTAAAGTGTTTTGATAAGAGCTTGAGGATTAAAGTTCTTGATTCCCATTGCAAATCGGACATCTTTGTCAAAGAGTTCTTTTAGATATTACTGTGTATTTTTCAATGAGTGAAGTGATTTTCTTCAATGTTCATATCTGTGTAGTGTGCATTTGATTTTATAAGTAAAATTGAAAAAATAATAATAAATGGTATTGATTTACACTGGCAGTGTAGTGAATGTTATGCAATGTACCTTGCATTAAAATATAAGCACATGCAGGTGCATATGTTTTGTAGACTGAAGTAGGAGGGCCTGGGCATTGAACTTCCAATACTTGAAGAACAGTGCCGCAAATTACACACAGTATTGTCTAGAGGCTCGTGTCAACTGCTGCATGCTGATAGAATTGTGTTCTTATCTGTGTACTCGGGTTAGCCACACAAAAGCAGTCAAGAGAGGAATGGTTGATCAACCATTCAGGTAGCTATAGTGTTTTCATAGAACTAGATTGCAAAGCATGTTGTTGCAAACATTGCAATGGCACCATTCTTTATCCAGTGTTCTGGGCTCCCATTCATCCCCCATGTTGGCCCCACTTGTGTATCCTATCAGGTTTCACACGAGTTTCATGCATAGGGCAGTCTACCTGAGATAAAGTGGCCAGTGTATCAGGATATTGTAGCAGGGTGAATGAATATCATTGTGATGTATTGATTTGAACATGAGTTTGGGCCATTACTTTCGGTGACGTAGAATTTAGATTATGTTTGTTGGGTCAAAGCTCCGGTCAGCTGGGACAGGGAGCTAGAAAAGTTGACAGGTATGCGCTAGTTCCCTGGAGGGCTAAGGCTATTAAAACGCAGAGCTGGTATAAAACTGTTGGAACGAATTGGATGCCTGCAGAACACAGCGGAGTCAGAAGACTAGCAGAGAAAAATTGCATTGAAAGGTACTGTGTATGTGCTATGCTAAGTTAAGTTAGCCACATTGATCACTGTAAAGAACAAATTGAATTTGCATTTAAAGTGGAAAGATATATATGAGGGTCATTAGAATAGTCTCTACAGTATGAGGAATGTGATTTGTCTTTGATAAGGTTTTATATTAACTTGAATAGAGGGAAATTGTGCAGTGCTTCATTATACCTTTATATTTTGACTGTGGTGGGGGGGGGGGGGGGGGGGGGTAAAGGAAGGACAGGAAAAATAATGTGATTAACACAAAAAAGATAAACAGCCTTCAAATAGTCACTTACCATCAATGCATGGTACTTGTATTGTGTTTACCCCTCCATTTAACAACTATTAAGGCAGGTTTACTTTATAAAGGTAAACTTCTTGAAGTGTCAAAGAAATACAACAGGTTCTTTACCCCAGGTGAATGCTTTGACAGATGGGTCAGCCTCTTTCGTGTTCACTTAAAATATAAGTTTTCCAAATGGCCTTTTAGTCAATACATTTTGCTAGTCACTGTTATTTTGGTAAACCAAGATAAGACAGAGATGTAAATATCATCAGCACAGAACCGTGTAGTTCTGAATCTTTATTTTACCCTTTGGGCCATCTTTTCTTCAGCTTCTTGATAAAAAAAAGTATGGTAATACTGATTGATTTAAACAAATGGAGAGCAGATCTCATGTGGCAATGTACTGAACCTGGGCATAAAAAGTGATGTCACCTTGCACACCGTGCAGTGAACTAAAAGCTGGACATGAAGAAACAGAAAAGGAGAACAAGACAATATTTATATATGAAGCTTAGAATTTTTGAGTAAACATGGCTATAGAAAATTATTTTTGTAAGGACAGTTTCTGTTAACACAACTTATAGGGTTCCTTCATATGTTTTCATAAAAAATTGTCATATTTTTCATACATCGACCTTTTTTAAATCCAGGATCAAATCACACCCTTTCTGGAAACACTAAATGTGGGTAGGCAAAGTTAGCATTCAGTCTGAGGTTACTAAGTTTGAACATATTTATCATGCATGTGCCTCAAACCTGACAACTTCATACATGAAGTCTGTATACTGTGGCATGTGTATTAGTTTTGCACTTTGATATTTTATCATTTCGAATGCTGTGGGTACAGAAATGTGCCACAGCCTTAACATAATACTGGGGCTGAATTGAAATTGTGCAGGTTTTTTTTTTTTTTTAACAAAATGAGAAGGCGAAACTTCGTTGCATTTATTGTATTATTATCCAAATTGATTATATTATATACAGGTGTGTGGGGGGGGGGATACAAATATACCAGCATTTATAATACTTATAATTACGCTATCACTTCTAGGTCATTATACATATCATAAAAAGATTTTTTCTACTGAAATTATTTGTCTCTGCACTCAGTGTGCTCAATTTAACATGCAGACTGTTTTCCCTACTCTGAACATGATTGTAACAATGAATTTAAATTTATCATTGCATTAAAATTCCATAAGAAGTAATAGGCCTGTAAGAAAGCCCTCCACCTCGTACCATTAGTGATAGGCAGGTTGGAAAGTTCCCCAGGGAGAACCTGCTGGCAGTCTGCTTAAAAAATATTCATCTGTAATCATAATTGAAGAACGGTACAAGGTGCATGCTTCCACCTCACAGAACTTGTTATCCAATGAAATTAGTGGAATTTTAAGAAGCTCTCAACTAGCAGGGTTACAGGTGTAATTCCTACCTTTCACCCCTCTTAGGTTGAGTCCACTGTTCACAGTACATAGTAAAACCAAGCAGTTTTGTCATATGCAGTGCTGAATGTTATCAGTGTGCCTGTCGGTCACTCGTTAAAGGATTTGGGAACAGAGAAACCTACCTCATTGTGGGATAGATTGGTGAAAACGGCCTAGTATTTATCAGAGGCAGTATGCTCTAACTAGTGGCTCCCATGTTCAGTGGAAGGTGCACTAACTGCCTCACAGTAAGTTAAAAGTGTACATGTCCTCTTATTGTGGTTATTGTCATTTCTTTTGTGCGGCACTAGTAAATGTATCTGTATAAAGTAAAGCTTTCCAGTGTATTTCAACTTGTTCGAGTACATTTATCATACGATACAGCATATAATGTATAACACCATCTGAGTAGTATTGAGAAAGTTTAACCACTAGATAAAATGAAACCTTCTGTCATTGTTTAGTTCAGCAATCTTGTTTTGATTAAGAACTCCCCCTGTAATGGTATGAACTGCCCATGGTTTATTGAAAAGCGAGTCACATCCAGTTTAGCATGAGAAAATGAAAAAAGGCAGTAAGCACTGACACAAGTCGCAATACATGCAAAGGCCACAAAGCATGGAAAGATAGTGGCTCCCCAAGAAGTGTGCTGTATTATTTGATGTATTGAGGTGAGTTACGATGTACAGCATGGGTGACTAGGCCAGTATGGCCACATGTTCAACTGGATATACTACTCGAAGAGATCTAGGCCTAATTTGCCTGCAGCCAGTTTGGTCCTAACATGAGAATCTGGCTAATTGATGATAGTACTACCTGTGTCAACTTTCACTGTTAGTCCTAATCTTTTCACATCAGATGCAATCTCCAGTTAATTGGATATTCATCAATTTTCTTGCCCTGAAACAAAAGCCCTTTACAAATGGACAACAAATAGGAGGAAGTCTTCCCCACAGATGTGGTACCAATGGTGATGGTGCACTGTATGAGAAGCATTGATCTCCACTGCATGTTCAATGGTACAGCAATGCTTGCAGCAATTGAATAATTAACAAAATTCCTCCTACACTGTTAGCCAGCCATGGTTGAGTAACCAGTTTGGCAAGCACCTTTTATAGCACTAACAATGAAACTTAGGCAATGGCTGTGGAGACGTAACAGTTATTTTAATGAGTGTAGAATAGGCTGTGTTCTAACACTCCTATTAAGTCAGTGCCAGTTTTTTTTTTTTTTTTTTTTTTTTTTTGAAGGGGGGGGTTGAAACATTGTATTGGCAAATCAAGGAATAATAAAGTTAAGCAGAAAGATTTCTAACAATGGGACAAATTGCAGAAGTACAGAAAAAATTGATTGGTTAACTTGGGGCAGGTGTGCTGTGAAAGATAAATCTCCATTATCTGTATATACACGGGTTTTTAGCATGGATGCACATCATGCTTTCCATCACACATAGTGCTCTAAAGAAATTTTTTTCTTTGATAGTACTATTAGTTATGCAACCACAAATGGTTGTTTTAGAAACACGCCCTTATTTTTATTCGGAGGATGTCCTCAACCCTTTGAGTTTATCAGTCAGTTACAAATCTTATCCATCCAACATAATTACATTGTTTACTGTGTGTATCTTTACCATCTACCTCCTACTCTGGATGCGTTGGTTTACTAGACTCATGATAAGATCATGGGTGTGATATTTTTCATCACAAATATCAGAGCGAAGTATTCCGTGCCTCACATCAAATGGAAATCTCAGGAGGGAAATCACCTCATTGCCTGTAGTTATACTTTAAAATATACATTTGTCCTTCAGCCTCCCTAATATAACCTCAACAGATGGCTGAATGCAATCGTCCCCTAATGTCAGAGGATAATGCTATATGGGCTGGTTTGTCAAACTGACTGATTAGAATACAGGTGTTGTGGTGCTGTTATGCTGGAGGTGGTTTTTGTAGCAAGTGTGGGCTGCATAAGAGCTAGGTGCATGCCAGGTTTGTCCAAACATTTCGCTTAGATAATTTTGTCGGGCGCCCTGGTACTTCACAATCTGTGACATATGTAGCGGTCAGTGAGAAGATGAGGCTGTTTACACCAGAAAAACAAATTACGAAACCCCAGACTATATTTGTTTTTAAAAAAGGTCTGAGATATGAAATGTCAAATAAGTAATGCAAAAGAAAAAATTCATGAGCTTATGTGGTAAAAGGAAAGGAAAACAGGAAGCCATAGAACCCAGAGTGGCATTTGAGCAATTGATAAAAAAATTCTCTATTTAATGCAAATTCTGCTTTGTTGCACACATTGTACCATATGTGACTGAAATTGAGAAATTAGTGTCTTAAATTGTTTGGAATTTCCATCTCTAGGTCCCATTTAAAAAGAGATAAAAAATGTCAATAGATTGTCGAAAAATGTTGTCATTTATGAAATGATAGGAGAAAATTTTTCACTGGCATGTATTGTATGAGTGCCAAACAAAAAAGGACTTCAATTTCGGTAAAACTTGTGACAACGCAATACTTGCCTGAGGCTGCCCATTGTAGCTATTCAGGGAATCTATTTAATTTGCAAAATCTGAGAAAAGATTATGCGAAAGATGTGTCATCTCTCTTGTGGAGAGACATATTGATTGGTATATTCAAAATGAGTGAAGTATAGGCACATAAGGCCTTGGTGTTATATGGTTCTTGAATTCTGCTGAGAATTTCATCAATCAAACAAATTGAGTGATACTTACAAGTAATGTTTACTGTGGAACTCCTTGCAGCAGGAAGTATGTTTTTATGCTTTTTTCGGGGAGAAAAGTGATATTAAATTTTCTCTAAAGACATTTAGATTTTATACCTTTGCATGCACCAGTGATATTGATGTCTGTGATGTTTGTAAATATTTTTTGCATCACAAAAAGATAAGTTGTTTTCTCTGCAGCTGCAGTTCCTTTTTTCTTAGAAGCTCTTGAATTTGACATGAAAAACGTTTTCTTCCTTGAATTTCATCCTTCAACTATTTTTAGTTATTCTCCACTTATGAAACATCGTCTTTGCATTTATTGGTATGTTATTCAACTTATTATGTAAGGACTCGTGTAAGATTGTTCATAATCCAAGCTTACATCTGTTTTGATATTTGTAAAGAGGTTGGTATTTGGTATTTTTTATTGATCAGATCGTCTTTTTTATNTCAGAATTGACAGTAGCCCGTTTTGTGCATTGTTATCGTCTGCTTTTTGTCTGTACATTTGACAGCTTTGCTGCCTTGTTATTTTTAGATTTTCCTAAATTGTTTTCATGAAATATGTGATACCTGACGATTAGACAAGGCACTTGTATAAATGGTTGAACATTATGCAGAGTACACTGTATGTTGGATATTCTATCCATCCCTTTTGTATGTGACAATCTATGCATGTGTAGAATAGCATGTTTAATACTTAAGTTTTTTTTTCTCTGCCTTTTTATTTATTTTGTTAAACTAAAATGCCCTGGTATTAAATTTGAGATAATAATAATAACAGAAGCATGGGATTTTTCTTTATCATTCCAGCAGGTGCTTGAATTGACACTACTTCCCCACTGAAGACAGGTCTCCTCACTCACTCATTCATTCAGACATCATGGACAAGTCATTGTAAATCCACCCTCTCCTTGTTGGTGCTGTCTTGATGCCACCGCCATCCTCCCTGTACTGTACCCAGCACCAGCAGCAGCTTACAGGCTCCTTTGTACTGGCGGACGGCATGGTCACACTCATCACAGAGAAACTGGGCAGACAGACTCTAGATGATCATGGACGATTTATCACTGTAAGTCACCAACCAAGCTTGTGTTTCATTTTGAGTTTGTAATTTTACTGAGTATTTTTTCGCAAGTGTTTTGCATCTTTTTGGATTAACAAATAGTGCATGGTATTTGATGTGGGGATCTCGCCACCTGCTGATTAGTTGAAGAGAGAGAGATGGGCAATGAACGGGTGTTGAATGATTGCAGCATGCTGACCTTTCTAAAAGACTTCAACAGGGATTGTCCTGTCAATTTTTTCTCATAAGTGCCATTCGGAAAAAAAATGCAGTATGGCATATGTATCAAGTCTATATAATGGTGACATTCTCACTAAGACTTGAAGATCATTTTGGAAGATATTATTGTATCTTAAGCATTCTTGTCATCATAGTAACTTAGGATGATGTATCACCTTTCACCAAAACAACTTTTTACTTCTTTGTATGTGAAGATAATGTGTGATTCGGAATGTTTTTCCTGCTTTACTAATGGTGTTAAATTGTAGTTTATAATGTTGGAATCATTTGTAAAAGGGCCAGGTTTTCATCTCAACATATTATTACTGTATCTAAGTACCCTACAAGCAATTAGAAAATGGTGACTTGGGGATATTATTTTTTTGCCTTATAAAAGCCAAGCAGCCTGTCTCTGAGGCTGTCAAGGCACTTGTGCAAACTTTATTGTTATGCTGAAAAAAACTTCCAGGTTGTCAAAGGTTTGTTAAATTTTAATGTTCACATTATTTCCATTACGTTCTAATACATGATACATATGATAAGTGTACAATTTGTGTCTTGTGTGTGTGTGTGTGTGTGTATGCGTGCGCGTGCATGCACGTGCATACACACGTGCATGTGTATTTCTGACATCCATTTAACTAAAATATTTGTGATAATGGAAAACTTGTCCCAAAAAGACCATTATTCAAATTGTCAAAACATATATGGAATGCAAAGAAAAATGGAACATGAACTTGGAGGGAAAGGTGGAATACAGTATATTTTCATTTGTTAAAAAATTGTTATTAGCAAGGGAGGGAGGTGGAGAGTGGATTGTTTACTGGGGAGACGTCTGCTGAGACAGATGGTCTTCTTATTTGCTAAAGATAATCCCTGCAGTGTTCCTTGCTGAAGCATGCTGGTTTCTGAGACAGTGTCAATACAACTGTAAATTACTTGGGAAATTTGAGTTTGTACAGGAAAGGATGTAAATAACAAAAGAGTGCTGCAGGATTACAACATACACCTGCCATTTTCTCATCTCCTTTGTACAAACATTGCTATAAAGTTACAGAAAGAGCACATCCTCGCTATTATAGTGGTACAAACCCAGATATTGACCCACCATACACGGGTTATGGATTTGATACGAGATGGCCGCACCAGTTCAACTTGGAATTGGTATCAATGTCGGAGTGGCATTTTCTTCTGTAAATATCTGCCTATCTGATTTGTGCAAAATTTGCACTTCATTACAGCAGCATTATTATATCCACAGCCCTATCTGCACATTTTTATTCATGTCTGCATGCAACTAAATTGACTGCTTAATCAGAATGATATTGGATATCTTTATTCTGGTGGCCTCTTCTGTCGTACAAAGCAGCAAATTTTTTTTCATCATGGACAAGAAGACGTGAATGTGTTCATCCATGCCTTATCTCGTAATACTCATAAACCAAAATGATTTTCATTGGCAAATTCAGCTATGAATTTTGATTAGTTATATTTTCCAGGCCACACTATGGGGAAATGCTTTTCTTCTGCATGAGCAGATACAAGTAATTGACTGTGGGTTTGTGGAATATTTATGTATCAGCCTAATAACTGGATAAAATACACACTGTTAACTGCTGGAGGTGTGTTTCCATGTCTGGGTTCTTTAGATCAGCCATTTAATTACCCTCAAAGTTGGATAGCTTATGAATATTTATGTATCAATTTAATAAATACAATAAAGGATCTATAGCTGCTGGAGACAGCAGTGGAGACTCCAGGCATACCTTTCCCATTTAATTACCCCGAGAAATAAATAGCTTGTTGCCCCACAGCCTTTGGGATGAATTTAAAGATCTTCACCCTGACTTAACCCATTATTCTTTGTTTTGTTCTCCTGACTATAATCCTACCAACACTGGTATTGTACGGGGGCCGGAAACATTAACTCACTTTCTTGTACAATTTATTTTCAAGTTTGTGGAAGGCAACAGCATTTGGAGATCAGAGCCATCTGGCTTTGAAGTATATATGTCTCATGGTTTTGCTTGGTTACAGTCTAAACACTGCTTGTTGATTGTGAACACCACGTACCTGAGGTCCACTGTTTGTTCAGCACACCGAGTTTGCCTAAACACTAGTTTGCTCTATTTATGGATGGCCATGGGCAGGATACTCGGGCCAATGGTTGGACTAAGGTTTATTTAGACTTCATTACTCTAATGGGGGTAATTTCTTCAAGTGCTTTGGTCTATGCCAAAATTAGCCAGCTTAGATAATTGACGGTCTCTTCATGGTAACAATGCACCTTAGAAATGATGATTATTTACTGATACACCAATATATTTTCTCATGTGCTTCATCAGTTTTGTCACCATTGAGCACAGTAATGGATTCACACCTATGTGCCATGAAGTTATCTGTCAAATATATATTGGGTAGGGGAGGTTTCCAATCATGAATATTTCATTGCACAATAAATGAAAACTAGACTATAATGAATTTGAGGTTAATAATATATCATTTGGGAGGACCTCCTACTTGGCCCATTGTTGACCTGATATACCCTGTTTCTGACGCCAAGAAAGTGTGTTCACGTGTTTTAACTAGTGACTTAACCACGTGTCGGACCCTCTACCAGTTTACCTGTAAACAGATTCTCAAAAGTAACTGCATATTAATATTTTATCAGTCAGCCAGACTCCTCATTTATACTCTGTGTGAAACGGATATATGGCATGAGAAAATGTCTTTCTCTATTGTTCTTTTTTTTCTTCTGAACTTCAAGTGATATATGTATAGCATACTTGGATGGCAATTCAAGTGCACCTCCCTCATTCCACGGAGATAATTTGTTATTGTATTTATATATTCTACACCACTGCTTAGGTGAACATGCCCACCTCAATTAAGATTCACCATCAGATCTGTGTCTACAGATGGCATTGAATCTCCTCCATGTTTGTCAATTAGGGCCATGTTAATGTTATGTGGTTGGATAGGAAGTGACATTGTGACTATTGGTGCAGTGGATGCTTGTCTCTTTTGCTGTACTTGCTGTCTAATGAGCCAAATCATGATATGACAAATAATGTCCACATGGTATTATTTTCTGGATAACCTATGGGAACTATGAGACTCGTTATCATTGCCCATTATGAATGTGAATAAATATGACTTGCTGTACACAATGGCTGTATGTTATTGTTAATAACTGGACTAGGAATCCTGTCTTTGTTTTTGTAGTGATGCAATCCAGTGTTGTTCATCAGCTGGCCAACATCAATATTTTAAGTGTTCATTATCACACATGAAAAGTCACTTTGATCCTCATTACCTGTTTTGTATATTTTGTTCCAACTTATTATTGGGTGATTAATGGAAATGACATCTTACAATCTTAAAAAATTGAATAACATGACATGGTTTGTCATTTTTTTTTTTTTTTTTTTGTAACATATGAGCATTGTTCTGTTTTGTTCCATGTGTTTTGTTCCATTGAGATTGTCTACATTTATCATAAACTATAGAGACATAATGGTTATTCTAATCCGCAATTTGTTCATATGATATTTTTATTTTTCCAGAGGTTTCCTCGAAGCTCCCCCCACTGCGAGCCTGTATTTAGCTCCTATAATTCCACAGGTAAGACGTCACCACAGAAGGAAAAGTACATGTTATATAAAACCATTTTAAACCAAACCAAAATCATTAGTACCTATATGAATGTTCCTGAACTGATTCATCATCAGCATATTGAAGTGGAAATAATATTTTAGTTTACATAATATTTTTCAAAATGAATTATTTTTATTATATACAAAGATTACATGGATCGTGGTCTATCCACACATGTACAGGAAGGAAAAATGTTCAACAGCGAAAAAAACAATGAGTTCCAGCTGAAGTCAGTTGTACATCAGATGTCTTAAGCAGGTGGTCACTCTGTCTCTGTCAGGTCAATATCAGGTGGGAGAAGAAAGAAAAGTCTTCTCACTTGCATCCCTGAATTATCCCTATTGGCCCTGAATATGGATACTCCCTCTGATATCCAACACTTCCCTGCGTGGTCTTCTTGGCCAGGTTGTGACCACAGAGTTTTACATTCTTGTTGCCTTGGCAACAGAAGGAGTTACATGTAAAGTGCCATGATTTAAGAGACGCAGCTCTATAAATGTCTCAGGATATTCTCAGAATTCTAGAAGTTTATGTCCTATAAAATTGATCCGTGCGTTTATTGTAGCAGTTATGGTCTTCAGTTGTGTGGACTCCAGAGTAGAGAAATGAGAAAGCTGATTGAAATAGCTCAATGATATTGAACTTTAGTTGGACATGAAAGCAAGAATAAATATGCTTGATCACTTTTCAGCAAAAGTGGGGGGAAAATATATTTAAGGAATAAAAGGTTAAAGAAAAAAAATGTTACAGGAAAGAAGTGTAATATCTCAAGGCTAGTTCTGTCTGTTGAGCATCAAATTCTCTCAGCTCAGTAATTTTGTTTGAAAGCACCAATTTCTTGTTTAAAGAAGCTGAGTTATTGCATTTGTTGCACAGGTGATTCAGAGTTCAAGGTAGTTACTAAATGGGCATTTGTGTATGTAGTTTTGCTCTTAGTTACTGCTTAATGTTGTCGTTAGCCTTTTAAACAATTGGTTAGTGTGCCTAAACTCCACCCTGAAAGTTGAAAGTTTTGTAGATAAACGTGGGCACCAGTGAATTGGAATGCATTATTCATTAAAAACCTTTTTACTGTGAAGATAAGCTTCAAATGTGGTCATTTTGAAGAAATTGAAGTAGAAGTAGATACAATTATTTCACCCTGTTTCCTTCCATACAGCAATCCTTGGTGAGCTGCCTCGAGATTAGCTTGACAGTCAGTGCCCTTTGAAACCCGGTTTCGTGCTAGCAAAATGTCTCATGTGTGGAAGCTGAAAATACCATGTTCTGTGCTGGAGAGCATTTTGTGTTGGAAAAAGACACATGAGGAAATTACATAATGTACCTCAGCTCCTGTTCAGATACCTGATTACCTCCTCCAGATTGAAGGCCATTAGCACACTGAGGGGCACATAGACATGCACATTATTTCGACACAATCATTATACTTTCCCAAGGTGATTAGTGCTCTTCAAGCTACTGGCACATTTTAGGGATAGTCGTGACAACAGTGAAAGGAAATTGGCTGCTAAAAAGCACGATTTTGTTAGCAAAAATTTGGCATTTAGATTTTGAGTGGAAAATACCAAGAATTTGTTAGGTTCCAGTCCTGTTCTTGGTAGAATTGCTTGATCACGTAACAAGTTGATTTAGTGCCTAGGGCTAAGATTCAGTGCTAAGATTTAAAGGAGGCTTTAAATTTCAGTATAATTTTGAAGGTGCCTTGTGCAAAGCTGGTCTGATTTCCAATTAGAGATAATAACTCTTTGTTACTCATATACTTTGCTATTCCCTTAACTTATTACAGTAAAATCTACAAAAAGCACTAAATGGGAGGTATTGTTATACCTAATTACCTGGTATAACACTACTTAATTTGCAGAAAATGTAGTGGTATCTGTCAGTGGTTGTTCTTGGTGGGTATCCCCAAAGAGTTACTGAGATGATGAATAGCATTGAAGTTCCGAGGAAATGAGTAGCGGAGGAAATGAAGAATTGTTCTCCTAGAGAATAAAGAGGATCATTTTAGGCGCCATGTTGTTTGATTGATCAGCTTTTACAAGTCTGCATTCATGCTCTGCTGGTTCTGCATGGTTATGTCGTTGTATTGTTATGTCTGCATCCTTTGATTGTCAATTGGCTTAGCAACATTTTTCATGTATATGGTATAATAAATATTTGATTTCCAAGTCAATAATGATACATATTTTCAGAATGCAGGATACATCATACTGCATGTGAAATATTTGAATGAAGGGCATTATAACATGCCCCTTGCTGCCAGTTGGGCGACTTTTATTGATCGCAATTTATCTTTTTTGCTCATTTTAGATCAAAAAGCAAAGTTAGTAATTATCCAGACCTCTGACCCCTGGGACCAATCGCTGAAGTCAGGGACTCATTTCCAGCTGGAAACACCACCGTTCTGTTCACACACTGCCAATGCAACACAGAAATGCCTCACCTGCTTCGACCCGTCACCGAGCACACCACCCGCACCCCCAAAGAAACGTCACTGCCGCTCTCTCTCCATCCCTGGGGACTCCTCAGTCACAGGGGGCGACACTAGGCAGGCCTTACTTCATCGCCCCGTGGCTTTGAGACCCCACTTAAACAACAATAAACTGTCTAAAAATCGAAACTCTCCCACTATCTCTACTGGCAGCAGTCGAGGGGGCAGCACTCTAAGCTTACCGGGTTTGCAGAGCAGCTTTAATTTTTTCCCCGCCACGTCTATCAGCAGTGGGGGACCATGCCATTCAAGTGGCTCCAATGAGTATTTCTTCACGCCCCCAGAATCCCCAGTGCCAAGACCTGCCTCTGCCTCTAGTGGCTACTATGACAGCTCCCTCAGCTCTCTTGGAGCACCATGGCTAGAACACAGTCCCCTACGTTGCAGTGGGAAATATGAAGCATTCAAACTACGAAGTCTTTCTCTGGAGGATCAAATCTCCGAGCACACCTCTCAGTGCACCTCAGGATCCATGCCAGTTATGCCAGGTGCCATTGGTTCCACCCCATCATCGCCAAGACGACAGCGTATCCCACGCTGCCGTTCTCAACCATGTGTTCTCCAAGATCGAAAGTGTGGTCTGAAGAGGCGTCGGGAGGAAGATAGACCTGCACTTGATTTCCTTAAAATGAAAGAAGTAAGTGTAATTTCATAGACACGTAGTTATGTTATTTCATTTGTTTTTGTTGAAATATTTTAAATTATCAAGTGCTAGAAGTTTGTGTTTGTATTATTTTATTTCATACACTTGAAACAAATAAGGTCATGCCTTTCTTACTCCAACTTCATGAAAAAAGAACATACAGTTAAAAGCAATCCAAATTGCCATGTGAAAGTAGTGAGATGGCGATGGTAATCACAGCTTCCATCTTTCACTGCAAGGCAGTGGTTGGCGAACATTAAAAATCTGTGTAAGAGCCTTGTTTTATTAGAAAACTGAGGTACTTGCCCCTTGAGTTGGTGGAGATATCACCTGCCAGTTGTGAAAGGAAATTTAGAACTCATTAATTTTGACTGAATCACCTTTGGGACACCTGAAGGCTCAACCTGGTGTGGGAACAAGATTGATTTAAGATGACAATAAGTATTTTTTTTTCCCACAAAATGTGGAGTGTTTTACTAGGGTATTTTTATGGACATCTTGTACTTCCATTTTGTCACAACTGATTTGAACAACAATTCAGAGCTTTTCTCCTCCTCTTTTGTCAACAGTGTGGTTTTCAACTCTGCTCAGGTATGGTTTTCTTTACACTTAAAAAAACCTTACATATAAAAACATGGCTTTGAAAAAGATAAAAAGCATTGTAGAAAACTTAGCCACTCCCATATATACTTAAAGTTTGTATTGTCAACATGTATATATGTTGCCAAAAGACATTTAGGTTGGGGGGAAACATAAACATGTGGAAAGAAAGCTTGTTGCTATTTACTATAAAACTGAAGCACACGATACTTTTTAATACATTAAAATGTCTGAGACTAGTCTAAGCCATTTGCCTTACCTTAAGATTCTGTAGATGTAATTAGCAGTTAATTTCAGAGCAGGTAAACCAAAAGTTGTCCAGTCCTTCATGTCAAAGCTTTTGAATACCATAATGCATTATGAATGAGCATTTTTTGTCATGGTCTGCAGGATTGGACACATATCATTTATTATGTACTCGACCCCTGACAAAAAGATGCAAAAGTCCACTTTTTGACACCTTTTTGATAATTATTCAATGCACTTGTAAAAATGAATAAAAACATCTATTCATTAGAATCTAAGGAGATTGACAATATTAAGAAATTTGAGAAACCGTAAAAAGATAGGAATTCCTTTATAGGATTTTCTTTGTCAATCGATAGCAGATCCTAACTGTTCATTATGTTTTGTCAGTAATGAAATGTCCATCAAAAAGAATTGGTGGGAGATTGCATGAGAGACTGAATGACAACCCATCTGCTCGGTGGAGGGGGGGGGGTTAAAATCATATGCCTGTAATTTCCACACTTTTGCAGCCTTTTCTGGGTAAAGCTGTATAGAATAACTGGTTTAAGGGACAGATTTAATTGTCCTTGAAATATGATGTATATGTAATGATTATTAATCAGTTGAACCTGCTGTGAGCAGAGAATTGCTGGTAATTGTGACCATTATGTAAATGGAATCTGTCTGGTAGTGTCAGCCACTCTTTAGGCTTCCAGATTGACATTATACATTTTTGGGCCATACTGTTTAAGATTTTCAAGGTCTCATGCAATCTCCCACTGAAACTGTTAATTTTTGTTAAATCAAAAATAAACAATGTATCATGTTGGATGCATTTTTGTATATTGGGTGGGTTCGTTGATACGAAATTAGATTTTCCTCATTCGTTGCTGAATTTTCTTAGTCAATAACATGACATATTTTTTTGAACAATGACACCATGGTTGATGGATTGGCAATAAAGGAAGAGAATAAAAGAAAACAGGTTTAGTGCCAAGTCTTTGATAAAAAAAAAACAGCCCTTTATCTTGTTACCAGTTATGAAATCATTTATTAATAGCCCGACAATAGTTGAAAATGCAATTGACGAAAGAATTTTGACTTCTGAAATAGTGTTTTGATTGTGCCATTTATAAACATCATTGCTGGGTTGTTGCAGGGGGATGTTGGTTCGCCCCTGGGCACTGCTGCACAAGTGAAAAAAAGCAAGATTGTGATAACACTGCAAAGTTAAGTCAATAGAGATCCATTGTTAGAAGCTGGCTTCTGAAGAGAAATAAGAGCTTGGTCTTTATTGATGCACACTCCCGTTCTTGACGGTCAAATGAATGACTTGGTCTCAATTTTGCTTTGAGAATGATAATTCCTTCATGTGCAAAAGGTTATGGAAATAACTTATATGGAGTCTTTTCCTGTGCATTTTGATGAAAATCTATTTTAGTCAAGAAATGGATTTGCTGAATGTAGATTGTGTTTGGAATAGGTTTTTGCATTGATCCAGGTTTTGGCATGTTGTTTTGGCATGGTAGTTCTGATAGTGTATATCAGGTGAAATGGGCAGTCAAACTAGCTAATTCTAGAAAGTGCCCACATGCATTAGTTTCCTCTCTGGGAAAAGATATTTGCACTAAGAGATTACTTCGACCCTTTTACAGTAATGCATTTTTATCTTTGCACCAACTGGCTTTGACTGCCTCCAGTCATTCCATGCTATCACTGGCCATCTCCATTAATGACCTTCTCTTGAATATCACTGTTAATAACTGCACATTTGTTGGTCATCAAGCTCTGGGTGTAAGTGTAACTTGCTGTACAAAATATTGGACTTTTAACAAGAACATTGTTTTCCTTTTCTTGAATGATATCTTTTTTTTTTTTAAATCAGAACCTTTGACTGTTGACTATTGAAATAGTTTCTGCATATGTGGCCCCTATTTTTAACCATACTGTTACATGTGTCAACTATTTAAGTATGGTTTGTAAATTTATTTTTCTGAAATGTAAAGCTTGAAATTTGCTGATCAGTGCCTACTGAAAAGGTAAAAGCTGTGTGGAAAATATTTTCTCTCTCCCTATTTAATGTTGATGACGTGTAACCAAAGGGGAGCATCCTGTTAGGCTACCCCCCACTTGCTGCTAAAATGTTAACCTTTTTAACACCTTTATTTTACTTATGATTGAGTGTAAAAGATTGGATTTGGTTCCAGTACTTGGGCACGGCACACTACAGCTATTGGGTCCAGTTTCACAAAGGCAGTATAACCTGATATTGGTCTATAATTTTAGTCTAGAAGTTCTATTTCACTTAAAAAGATAAAGTGATTTTTATCAAGGTAAATAAATTAGATATTGTTCTGAAACATTGGCCATGCCTTTCGTGATATTAAACAAGTGCAATATTTAATTTTATTGAGTTTAAAAAAAACTTGAATCTTTGGTCTAAAAGTTAAGACCAATTTTCGGGCTAAAGTTCTTTTGTGAAAGGGGTCCCTGAACTCAATTTTCTATACCTGAATGCCCATTTGTCACTGGACTAGCTAATGTGCCATTACAATACTTGTTCAACATTGTCACTGCATGAAAATCCAAACAGTGTGAAATACACATGTATTGTAATGTCCAGGGGGTAGTGGTTCAAGATAACCCCCTTCAGCCTAGCGCCTTCACCTTTAACGACAATAGAATTCAATCCGCTGCATGAGAATGTCAACTGATATGGCACAACATATTTGTAGATCAATTTTATGTCCAAGGCAGGATTTCAAAAATGAGATAAAGGAGTCAAAAATTGCATTAGAATTTATTGGAGATTTTGAGTAGCTCGATAGGCGTAATGAATAGCTGTAGTGCATAGGTGTTATTACATATAAGGTAAATTTGTTCCTGTCAGTGTGCCCACCTTTAGTAAATCATGGAGATGTTTGGATGTCTGAATACAGTTTTAATCTCCACTGCATCACGGATGCGTGATCTGGAAAAGATTTTAGGTTTTTATTCGGGAATTTATTCCACCACCGTATTAAAGGCTATGTGCCTTTTAGGGCAAATTTATAAGGTCGCGTGCAATAACATGGAAGTCTAAGCAATTGTGTTGCCTTTAAAAAGAGCTGTGGTTTAGTATTTAAACAACTGATTTTTGGACTGAGATAAGTTCCAGTGTGTGACGTCAGGGAGTTATGGTAGCCTAAAAACATAATGCTTAAAGAACACCGCTAGGTTAAACATTCATAGTCTCTGCAATGTGAGATTTTTTCAAGTGACAATATTCCTTTTCTGAGGTACTATTTGAAAAATTCTCACAGCTGTATTTGCTACAGCTCATTGCTTGTGCCTACCTGACAATATGCAGGTTTTTAGGTCTTATTTTTTTCTGTTAGATAAGGTCAGATTTGTAATCTAAATTATACCAGAAGAGTGAGCTTTTATCTGTGATTTATAAGTGAGTTGGGTTATTAAAAGTATAATATTCAAACAAATCGATAAATAAAACCACAGATCTAATCAGAAAATGAAATGGTGGCCTTGATCAGCAGGCTATATGATAAGTGGAGGTCAAAAAACACGAAAAAAGGACAAGGAATGTTGCTTTAATAGCCTTAAGAAAATGAAAAGAAAAAGACACGCAGACAGTAATTCTTGCAGTATGTGAAGTAGATAAAGGTAGTCTCAACATGACAGCTGCTCTGAGTGGATGTAGAGAGACGGAGCACTCTCATGATTACTGGGATTGTGCAACCTTTCCCTGACATAATGGCACTTCTAAACCGATCCCTGGGGGTATGATGGGCACCTCATGGGGCTAGGAGGATTGAGACCTGATTAGAGTGTAAATCACCTCCGTAGAGCTCACTTGAGGTGCTAGATTTACCAGCAGGTAGATCTTTTTCATCTCATCATTCACCTTATTATGGCATGTACAGACATAAGAATAGATCTGTGGAAGAGATTATAGACAGTCAGTGAGTGAAAGGGAATGTTCACTGCAGTGTGTTCGCTGCATGTAAAACAGGTTGACACCAGACACTGGCTTAATCTGTTTTCTCTTCAGATATCAGTATTCTTTACGCAATGTGGGAAAAGAGCATTATTCTGATTTGCTTAAGTATTTGGTACCATTTTGTAGTCTCCAAGAACTTCCTTAATTTGTGTTCTTTAAGCAAGGTGGAAAATTAATCCTTGCTGCAGATAAAAGGGATTTGGCACCATGTTATAGATGTAAGGATTCCAGAGTATAGAAAATTGAATATCCCACTTACTTTTGGCATATTCAGAAATTTATTAATGCATGGAGCATGGCCAGTGAGAAAATAAATGGTATAAAATCAAGTCAATTAGAGAAAAATTATGTATGAATAATTGAGAAATAAAGAGGGTCGTGAAAATAAATAGAAATAGTCAAAATTCTAGGACATGAAACTAGTGCGAAAAGTAGCTTCAGTAGATCTATAAATAAGTAGACTTATGGTGTTTATGGAACATAGCTGAAGTGACACTGCCAGGATTGACTGGCAATCAAATCAGTGTTAAGCAGACAGACTCGGTGACACCAGAGTTGATGCAGCAGGCATCTCCCCTGGGAGGAACACTGATTGAGCTGGCAAATGAGACTAGGAGGAGCACAGGAGTGAAATGTGAGCGTCTGGTGACCATGCTTCACTCGGGCAGGGCACGATGCATATGTTTTGTCTCTGGTCTCTGAAATTGTTTTTAGTTTTAGAGTTTGACCCATCACTGCTTTACCTGATTTATAGTTTGTTAATTTACTTTAATTTATTTATAATTCTTCACACTATAAAAATTGTCAAGGATATTTTTTATATTTTTCATTTTTTCAACAAGAGCAGTTTAACTTCTGAAATTTACTTTCACTTGGCACGATGTGAACTTTAGTTTTCACTTTTTTTCACAAAGGCAATATATTTATGGTTATCTTCTCATATATAGTGTTATCATCCTTAACCAAATCTGCCTTTGGTATTACGCAGATAGGACTCGGTCTGCAAACAAGAATCCTCTATCACAAATTGATCTGTCCAGTAAATATATGTATGTAATAACCACGGCCTTGTTTTTCTCCCAGCGTAATTGCTACCATCAGGATACAGGCATGAATTTTAACTCATAAGCAAATTCATTTGAAAATGTATCATATGAGTAAGTGGAGTAATTTACTGCCAGTGGCTTTTAAATGCACCATTAAACTAACAGACATACAGTCCAACACAGTTCTTACTTTGCACAGTGAGATGCAAATAAGAAATTCCCATCTGTTAATTCATGAAAGCGTACAATGCAAATATATTAATCCACGCTGATGACAAATGACTTTTAAGTCTTTCTTTATATATACTTGGTGTAGTTGGAAATCAACGGTCATGATAGATAAGGCAGCTAAGTGGGGTTTCTGCTGAGTGACACCAATCTAAACTAAGTGCACTTCAAACTGTTTTAATGAGTTAAGATTCCACAAGTACCAAGCCAACTCTTTTGATAATTTTTCTACACTGTATTCTCAGCATGCAAGGTAAACTTGCTGCCTGTATTCAGATGGCATTAACATATTGGAATGTTGAACCATTGATTGCCCCCTTTTTTTATTGAACCCTGCATAGCAGGGGCTAACATTTTGCTCAATCACAATATTCCTTTTAGAGATCAGGGTGCACTGTTTACTTACATGAAATATTGAAATTAAAGTAAACAAAAAGAGAACATGTTATAGAATAATGTGAAATTAAATGATTTTGTTAAGCCCTTTTTATTGAACCCTTCATAGTGTGTTAGCAATGTTTTCTGTCCCACTGTTTCACCGTGGGATTGAAAATGGTGTTTAGTTTCATAAAATATTAAACTAAAAGTAAACAATAGAGAACCATGCCTTTGAATAGGGTAGAATATAAATACATGTGCTGTGGAGTATACGATCCCTTTTTCAATAACTTTTATTAATGAACCATGTATTAAAGATCAGGGTCAAGCACCGCCTGAAGAGGAATTGCTAGGTGTAGGTTAAGAGAAATTGATTGATATTATCAGAATTGTGTCCACACGGAAAAATAATTCAATTTTAATGGTGATCTATGAAGTATGCATACAAATTGAGTTCCTTAAACTATGACATAGAAGTTCAAAATATGGTGTGAATTTAATTAACTGTCTGTAGTCTTTGTTTTTACATCAGTTGTTTTTCAAAATCTTTCTGATTCTTAGTATTTTGGTGCTACTTGTTAAATGTATGATGTACAATAATGTATACATATTTGTTTTACAGACTGCCATAGAACCTGTACAAAGATGGTATAAAGGTATCAACATTCCACTGGTAAGTTGTGCTCCGTCTCAACTAACACATTGTAAGCAACCTGTACTCTCCTTACTCTTATGTGGAACATTCTTTGTCATATAATCAACAGTAGCAATTGCTTGCATACTGAATGACATATTGATTCCTTTGACACTGTCCACATTGTTTATGAGAGTGATTGTTGTTACTTCAATATTTAGGTCATTATTGGGAAATTTTACTTTTGCAAATTGTCAGCAGAAGTGTAGCAGTTCAGTTCATAATTCTTCAAACCACATATACAATTGCAAAGATACAGCTTGTATATATATATATATATATATAATGTTACAAAGGTGACACAATTTTATTCTTTCAGAATTTCAAGTCCTCTCGCAGTTTGGCAAGTGAATTTGCCAGCCTGAATCCCATTGCTAGCTCCCCTCTAGACAGCAGCATCCCAAGTACCATCACAGCGCACACCGGCTCTGCCACCTCATCCCCAACCTTAGAACTACAGGAAAAGAACGAAGATAGTAATAATGAAAACCAAGACGAATTTGTAGACAGAGGCTACAGCACAACCACGGAAACTTCCGATAGTGTGGATGCTAATTGTTCTGATACTTGCAGTTGTCATGACAATCTGGATGAACAGAGTGAGGAGGAAGAGGAGGATCATATGTTTCACATAGATGTGGCCAATGATATTGACCTTGATCAAATTGAAAAAGATTAAGTTTTTGTTCAGATGGAAACCTACTTGCCAATCTGGCTGTAGGGACCCTTCTGGTTATTCATTCTTTCATTTTATTACTATTAGAGTACTTTTGTCTGTGATCATCTTTATTTTATGACTCTAGTGTGGATATGATGAAAGCTTAAAGATAATAAGAAAGTAGTTTTGATTGAATTGTTTTGGATTCTTGCACTACTTTCTGTCTCTGGATTGTTGCCGTTTACAGTGCTCAGTCCTTACTGAATTAAATGCCTAGAAAGTCACCAATCCTCAGATTTCGTTTGTTACAGGTATTGTTTACAAGGGCAGTGAAATGTTAACTTTATTATTATATTTGTAATATATCAAATAAGTTACTTCATTTTCCCCAGTTTGTTTTACTTTCGAAAATCTGTCAGACATCTTGTCATTAAATGGCATTGATGATTGAAGTGTACCTAATGTAGAAAACAAAATGAACAGAATGAGACGAAAAACTGAATTCTTTTACAAATGGGTCTCATTCAAAGATATTGTTTGTTATTTACTGTTACCAAACCCTGTTATTTCATTTGGATTTACTTCAAAATGAAAATGGAAATATTAAAGATCTGCCAAAACATTTCAATTTTCAAGGAAGAGTCCATAACCTTGATGAAATTATAATTCATTCTACCTCAGAAATGGGAATTTCTCATTGTAGTTCTCAGTCCCAATTGGCTGAAGCTTCCAAATTAAGTTCTAAAATGAGAATAGAAATGCTAACACAGTGAATACCTTACATGTACAATATATAAATATATATTATACTCTTATTACATGTGTATTTATTGTGAAAACCTGTATCACATATTTGTGAATGAAAAGTCATAAATTACAAAAGCAACGTAATGGGTGCATCTGTCCATTGAACTGTATATCATTCTTTGTAACTTATGTACAAGTTTTAAAGATATATTGTATCAACTTGAAATCATTTTTAGAAAAGGAGCAACCATCAATGCATGTTGATCAAATTTGTCATTATCAAATTTTTTTTTCTTAGAATATGAATTATTGGCATTGGGATGAAAAAGTTCATCATCTCATGTTGACTTGGAAAAGAAAAACCTAAATGTGTGGATTCCTTTTTGTGACCAAGCTACATTCCACCTAAATTTTAAAATCAACCATCAATATATGTATAAAACTTGGAATGTTTCTTTGACCATATGCATTAAAATATTTGTACATTTTAAACTTTTGACTGCCATCAATAGCAATAAGTCTAAGTAATAAAACTAAAAGTACGGGTTACAAAGAAGAATGCTTTGACCAATAAATCCACATTTTTTTCCATGATTTGTTGGTGAAAGACTGGGAATTGCTAGAATGTGGCAGCTCTTTGAACTATTTCAGGACTTCTGATCAAAATTAACTGAAGAGAACTATATTGTATACTATATTTTGTTGATGTTTGAAGAGTATACTTAGTGTGTTTTGTAGATTAAACATACAAAGAATTTAAAGCTTTCAACTTGCCCACGGACTTTTGTATTAGTTGCCAAGATTCAGTTATGACAACAAGGATGCTTATTTCCTCTCTTAAGAAATGTTGATAATATCAACTTTACCAGAGGTTTGCAGGGAAATAGTTCTATTTAACAGTGATACTCACTATACATTGAAGAGTGAAAATTGTGGTGCATCAATAGTAAGAGAAGACATGTTCTCATATGCACTGGTGCTTGTGTGTGCTTTATGGTATTGCTTACTCCTGCGTACAGTAAAAACTTATGAAAAATACAGTAAAAATTATTGTGAACAAGTTGAAAGTTGTAAACTTTGCACAGTGTGGCTGTGTTCTAGTCAGTCATATTTTAAGTGAGCTTTTTGTTTGGTTTTTTTCAATGCTTATTTTTCTTTTGACAGTCGTAATTTAATGACATTTTCCCCTTTCTTTATTAAATTTTTTCATCCTTAACACTCCTACAGTTGTGCTAAATTACCAGTTGTTTTTCAAGCTGTAAATATGCTTGTATTTTGGTTGTTTTTGAGTGAAAGAAAGGCAAAATCTTAAAAAATATTTTTAATTAATTTTTTAAAATTATTTTTCATTATTTATTTATTTATTTATTTATTTATTGGTTTGTATTGTGATAATTTTTTTAAAAATTGGTTACAGTTGCAATTCTAACTTTGAGACTTTGTGTTAAGAAGTTGTTTATTTGGGGCCGTAAGAAAATTTTTTAAGTAAGTACAATAGATATGAAATGTATTTCATAATTGAACTGGCAAGCGATTTAGACACCTTAAATTAAGGTCTTGTTTAATATCCCATTTATTGTTATTCAGCTGTAAATGCAAAATGTTTCACTTTTTGCAAAAAAATTTGTACAAGTACTTTAATTGAAATATTCAAGATGTACTAACAAAAGTAGATAATTAAGTCAATTTGATATAATCTCTTCAAAGTCAATCATGATGAAACATTTTGGACACTGCAGTCTTTTTCAAAATGCCAGGGCATTGGTTGGCATTAGCATGGGTTTGCATTTTTTTATCGTAAATTTTCTTTTCTTGTTCAAAGCATTTGATTTAAACAAGATATCAATTAATGCCATTAAAACGAATTGCAAGGTACACATAAATCCTGTCTATGTTCATTGCTACATAACTTGGTTTTGATAAAAAAGGTATGCATTTTGTTTGGCAGGTCTTGAAAAAAATGTGTTAAAGAGAAGAAGATGCTCTTACACATTGGCTCAGGGTTTTGATTTTGCTAACAACTGAAATGGACTACTGTCCCCAAAATACATGTTTATCTATATTATGCACTTTGTAAGACTTTCCTAAGGAGTCAACTTTTTTTACAGACATTGGACTGTATTCCAAATGCTTGCAGTCGAGTAAAGATGAGTGGATGCCTGCATGGCGTGTGATAGTTCCTTTGACTTTAGGCCAGAGAGGGAGAGAGCAGACTGCAGTTCTTTATTGAACATGTGTAACTTTGTCTTTTTTGAGGAACTTCCTCCCTAAAGACCAGTATATTGTTATTTGCTGCATGAAAATAAATGGGCATCAACTCCTTTAGAGTTGTGTAAATTGAAAGTAGTTCAATACACCTACTGTTATTATCATTATACCATTACATTTTTATGTGTGATACGAGTGTAAGGCATACACACTTAGACGTTTTCAGGTTTTTAGAGCATATATATATAAATTAATTACATTTTTAAAAAGACCAAAAATATGTCAAATTGTACATAGTAGCTAAGCACTATAAGTGGTAAAGGGAAAGCCATTTCCTGTGTTGTTTTATATGTGTAAAATAAAGTTTAGCGTTTTGCCAGTAATAAATGTGTTTTTAGTTGTCTTTTAATTNGTTTTTAGAGCATATATATATAAATTAATTACATTTTTAAAAAGACCAAAAATATGTCAAATTGTACATAGTAGCTAAGCACTATAAGTGGTAAAGGGAAAGCCATTTCCTGTGTTGTTTTATATGTGTAAAATAAAGTTTAGCGTTTTGCCAGTAAAAAATGTGTTTTTAGTTGTCTTTTAATTTGTAAAAATTATTTTACTTATTAACATTTCCTTTAAAAGTAAGCCAAAAATAGGCAATAGGCAACCTTGAAAACCGGTGGTGTGGTCTGATATACCAGTGAATTCTTGATCATTCGGTGCCCAGTCTGGTAGTTGGGTAGGCCTGAGAAAAATGAAGGATATGATGCCAGTATAGGAATTGCAAAATCCCACAAAAGGGGGAATCCGTTGTTGTAGAATGCCGAGACATAATGCAGTGAAACATGGTACCTAGTATTATTACAAATACTGGATGACATAAAGACTGTCCTATGCAAATACTGGATGACATAAAGACTGTCCTATGCAAATACTGGATGACAAAGACCGACCTATGAAGAGGAAAATGCATTGACTGTCAAATTCTGAAGTAATTGGAAAATACCTCTGTAAAATGTAATTGTTAAACCAAGACAAATAAAAACAAACATCTCCATTATCACATGCACCTTTGGTCCACCTAAAATGAAGAATAACTGATTCAAAATAATTCCCTAGAGTATCTTTCTTGATGGTGTGCACGAGGTATGGTTGTAGCGAGAAAAATGGCAAAGACTGTAGTTACTGTAGTGCTCTTGTACAGCAATGGTCTTTCCTTCAATGACTGTAGCCTGGGTTTCTGTTGAAAAATGACCCAGACAGCTGTCAACTGAGAAATGCCATCTGGTTAAGATGCTAATTAATGCTGTGCATGGCAGATTTGTGATAATCTATAACATTTATCAAATTATCACGTTAACAAGTATTCCAGAGTATCAACACCATGATGGGAATGGTTGCGTTTTCAGGCAAGAAGATTGGACATATACAGTAAAAAAAATTGATTATAAAACTCAACTTTGCAGAAAGTTATAGCAATTAAAGATTCTGTGTAAGCTCATTTATTTACAACACAGAGAATACATACTACATGATTTTCAGTTTTTGAACAATACACAATAGTTACAGTAATAATTATATTACCTGTGTATTTTGTGTGAATGAGAAGTATACCCATTAACTGCACCTTATCATCCACATTTATGACTGAGAATGTACAAGTCTATGTATTTCATCAAACCTGCTCTAAATGGATTTTTACGGTATTTTTAACCTTTCTTAGTTGAAGAAAACATAATTCTAATTTGAAGATTAGTTATAGAGACAGTATATGAGGTTTTGGAACAAAAAAATTAAAATTCACAATACCTAGAGACCATAACCCTGTCAGATTCCAATCTTACAACTACCCAAAGATGAATGCCCAGTAAACAGTTGCATGTGTAAAAAAATAGCCTTTGATCAAGTATGCTTTATCATTTGATAAAAAGTATGTAATGTTCCTCTGAAACCTAAGCATGGATAATATCTGTAGAAAACAAAGCTTAAAAACAAAAAACCTTACATACTGTCCCTTAAAAAATCTTTTATTATAAAAACACTAATCTAACTTCACTATGGATGAGGGTTTTGCTGACCAGTAGAAATTTCCTGCCCTGGCAATGCTAGTACCTGAATTCTATGTCCTACATAGGGAAATACTTGGAAGTGTTTTTCTTGGAATGAATCAAGCAGGTTTAGACTAAAAACTAAAAAAGGATGGGAATCCAGGAAGAAAGGCATGTTATACATGTAACCTTGACAAAGCATGCAATGGAGACATTTTTCAAAATTTAACAACAAAGGATGCAATCTGATTTGCTTTGTGCATAAACAAGAATTTGGATGTGTGACACTATCAGCGATGAATGCCATCATTTCATGGATCAGATAACTGTTAAAAAATACATAGTACCAGGTTGCACTTTAAATTATTTAGGAACTGGTATAGTTACAATGTAAAACATGCAGCCATGAGCACCTTTATAATATTTGCTACAATTCACAAAAATAAAATGACCAATGTTTTTTTTTTTCATCAGCACATTTTCATATCATATTAATGCAGCAGCTTCATATTGTTTTCAACTGCTTACACTTGGATTCGTCAAAACAAAATGTGCCATGATATATGTAAGTCTGACATTTAATACTTATCACCTAAACACAATATATGGCAATCTATAATTTACCTTGACTGGTATTAATCTCTTATCCAATCTTAAATAATTTCCATGACCTGTTTAAATCCGTCACTGTGACAACAGCTGATACAGCTGTTCATTTCATCACAATGACCTACGTCTCATAAGCACAACTTATCAACAGCAGTCTCTCATGCACGTAAATTTAATGGTTCAGATTCTCGTTTTTTTACCATCCTTAATTATTCTCTACAGCAAATAATCCCCTGCAAATATATGCCTTCATTAAAGGTCAGTGGGACACAGAGGAATGTATTGCTACAAGCCTCTTTTACCAACAAGATCCTTTGTATCTCAGCCTTGCTAAAGTGGTTGTTGCAGTAGTCATACAGGGTATTCATATCGCTTAACTTGCCTTAAATGTTCCACTGTTTGGTGTGCATTCCCCACAGCACGTTTGGTGAATGTTTACCTATGTCCACAAATATTAAAATGTCATATTTCTCAATTCTTAAAAAGAACATTACAGAATATGAAATACAGTGAATTTCATATTTTACTCAGGAAAATAGTTTCTGTGACTTACAATGCATACACAACATATGCATTTTGCAACGTATGTAATGGTCATATTAGTTTGTAATCTGATGTGCACATTTTGCCATGGTAAACACTCAAATGGTCCATCTTCTAAATGTATTTATATCTAGGTTACTTTCTTCATCTGGTTAATTTGATTTCCTTTTCAATCAGTCAGCCTCTATTATAATATCACACAGCAGGAATTGGTCTTCTTTGCCTTAAAAAAGATGTGATCCATGATAATTACTCAAAAATGACTGGGCAACTCAAAGTTTTTTAACTAGTACCTAAATGAAACCACATCATATAAAAAGTCAACAAATAATGAAGTTGACAAAGTAAACAGAACAATAACTGTTTGAACAAAACACAACTCATCATAGACCTTTAGTATACTTATTAGTTATATTAAAATAAGTGAACTATGATATACATGTGACAGCCTTAGGAAAAAAAAAAAAAAATATATATATATATATATATATATATAAAATTTTTTTTGGGGGGGGAGGGGGGGCATTAGACTATTTCAATGTCTACAAATTCATAGAGACAAAAAAAATCAGCTGTCTTTTTCCATCCTTTTTCACCAACATAAAGACTAAACTAGAGAAAGGAATTTCAAGTTTAATGGCATATATTAATGTGTCCATAATGGAAAACAACATGCCATGTTCTGTAACAAGTGTGCTACTCACTGTTTTATAAAAAGCCTTAGATTGCGTGCTGAGTCCCTCTGATTTATCAACAAGGTCATCTAATTTCTCTCCCCTCTGTAGTACAGCTTCTATTGTATTATGCTGAAGTCAGAACGAGCAACTTGTATGATCATATAACTTATATAATCACAAATGTAACTCACAACACAGGGGCGGATCCAGAGCTATTTACTGACAGTCTTCCAAATTATCTTTGTTGATTCATCCTTCAATTTTGACCGTCTTCCAACATGAAAAATTGGATACCCGTCAATGTAAACTTGAAAATCTGACCGTCTTCCAGAAGACCCAGAAGACGGCCTAAATCCGCCCCTGACAACATATGTAAACAAATATGTAACAAAAAACATTATATAATCAGGCAATTTTGATTGAAAACAGCACATTACTATTACCTAAAGATTTTTGAATGAATTATTTACTTGATGTATCAGTCTGCTATTAAGTAACACATATTGGTTAATTGTAAATACTAAAGTACATTAATAAATTAGTGAAGGGGTCAACAATTTTTATCTTCATTTTTGCACGTCTGCAAACCATACACTCAGTGGGAGGTGGTGAATGCCCTCTGCATGCTTTTGGAAAAATAATCAAAATGATAATCTTCACCCCCAGGGGTGTGAAGGCAAAGGTCTCCATTTTAAGCTTCTGCCTTGTGTTCTCAGAACAAAGGAGGGGAAGGGGGGGGGGAGAGTCTTTGCAGACTTAAAAATTGAAAATGCTGATAAAAATGGATGACCCCTAAGTATTAACATAAATAATCACTTACAAGAATGATCTTGGTTTCATCTATGTCTGCTTGTAGTCTGGTCATGGCATCAGCCTCCTTGGGATTCTGGTATTTGACTAAATAATCATCCGCATTTGAAAACTGAACAGTGCTGAAATACACAGAACACATGAATCAAAACTCAGCATCCATATCACTTGCTGTCACTAATAGAAGCTGCAAGAAACAACTTAATTACCTTATCACTAATCTTTATCCTGCAGACAAATTTTCTGCCTGGATTATTCTGAATTGCTTACTTTCTCAGGTGACTTGATGGAAAGCATTTTGTACACAAAATCTGAAGAATTTATCTAGACAATGAAAGGGAGTAGCTGTCAACTGCTGATGAAGATAATTAATTACTAAATTATATTATTAACAAGCAGTTTATACTTGAGCTCTGTCACAGTTGCGGAACAATATATCTAAGAATAAAACCCTTAACTGCTTTTTGCATAAACTAAAATAATAAAGTTGCACAATAAACAATAAATACTTGATAGCTGAATCTTAACTTGATGACTTGGCTAATTTACTGTTGAGCGAAATGTTTTATTGATCTTACTTTTCTTCAACGGTACCCCATTCAATCTTGGGGAATTTTTCTGAGAATTCATCCAGCACTTTATTAAGCAACGTAAAGGCAACTCTCACTGGATATTCATGATCAGCAATTAGCACACCTGCTAAACCATCAGCACGCACATAGACATGCACCATGTATTCTAAAACAAAACATATAATTACACATATAATTATACATCTTCAATGACAGAACTTAAGACCATTCAATTTTATCTATCAACAAGAAAACAGATGTTTACTGTAGTATGTCTGATAATGTGATTTAGGCCTCTTTTTAAGTGCTGACATACATGATACTAGAAACTATAACCAAGTTCATTTTCCTTTTACAGAACACTGCAGATATTTCTACTGCCTAGTATTGATCATCTTGTCAATAAAATATTTATGAAATGAGGTTTTACTTCTCAACTCACCTTGTTCTTTTACTGAAGCCCTGCTACATAAAGATGTCCTCTCTGTTACTATACGACTTGTGAAATCCATAAATTCTCTAACACTGAAAAGACAATACATTGATATTGAAGTTAAAAATGTCAATTATCAATGAACATGATAACCTTGTGAGATTTCAACATCACTTTTACTTACTTCAACTAGGCTACCCAATCTGCGCTCCTTGCAAAACAAATGATAAATTTCACAGTGATTCATATTATTTTTATTTGAAGCAAGAGAAAGAAACATGTAATTATATAAATTATCAGTAACAATTTCTTACATAACACAAATAAAATCCAAACGTCCCACAAAATTATCTCTCATGCGGCAGAAAAAAAGACTTTAAAAGTATATCTTCTTCAAAGTTCTGGTTGTAAATTTCACCTACTTATTTTCCTTCCAGTCTTGAACCACGTTAAGCAGATAATATCTGATGATATCTGTGTGCAAATTTCATAAAATAATGTAGCAAAACCCCGTGGTATTTCTCTAACTTATATTATTTAAAACTATACGGTGGCACTTGGTTGGGATTAGCCAAAATAATTTGGCATAAGTGTTTGCTTAATATGCATCAATGTAAAATATGCATTGAGACTGACAAAAATATTATTTAAACATTTATCAGTACCTGCTGTGAAAAACACTCACAAACATGAACATTCAAGTCCAGGAACAGAAACTGAAAGTGTCTTTTCAAAGTGAAATTGTTCTGTGTGTGTACAGTATTAAAACTAAAAAGTCCAAACTGACAATGAAAATTAAGAAACATACGTCGAAATTATATTCAATTTTTCCCCATCGGTGTTTTGCACCAATCAACTGCCAACATTATATATATTCAACCTATGTATAAAATAATTTGTTGGAAGACTTTATTACAGTTACCATTTTCCAAAATTCCTAGTACTTTCTCCCTTCTTTTCTATCATATCCTGGAATTTATCTTACCTTCCTCTCTGAAAATATCCAAAGGACTGGAGGTCATGTGCAGCCTTCAGTGATCGCACTTTGTGCTCTGTCTTATACAATACTGTTAGGGAATATAGCTTCATTTTGTGGGTTGTATATGTACAAGATTACCAACTATTTACACACCTTCTACAAGCTGAAATATAAAAGAAAATATATTTTGTCAATGTGAATACAAATTATGTTTTATATCCAGAGGATACAAATCAAGTTCAAATCCTTGCTGAATGAAAGTCAGTTTATAGATAAATATCTGCAGCTTATCACATGATGATCGCATAGTGATGGTCATGATATTGTACACAATGACTCAAATACTGGCTATTTAGTATTTGGTATTGAATGATCACATAACAACCACAAATAACACAGTGTAGGCATTACAGAATTAGCTTTCTCACAGTAACTAAAAATGGCAATTTTTTGTCGACCTGGATTGTTTGAAAGATAAATACAACTAATAACCACTCTTCTACGGTTCTCAAAGCGTATGCTTCTTTGCTATACTTCTTACGTTATCAACTCATTTTGTACCTCTTCCTGCGTGGAACTTTTTACGTGTCAATTGGATAGAATTATGCTGAACAATAATGTACCATATTTAACAAAACGAACCATCAAATCCCCAACGTTAGACAGTCTATGGTTTGAGTAGGTTCAATTCATGAGTTACCGAGAAACACCATAAAATGATGAAACTTACCCTCTTTTACACAATGACTTGGTGACAAACATCCAATAAGTTTGATGCTCTCAAGATTGTTAACATCGGAACTATCAAAATTTTTTTCCGTGACTAAAGAGTGACATCACCGAGCCTCGATATCGAAAAGTAAAGCTGCTCCCAAATTTAAACAGCATTTTTGTATATATATTTTGGAAGCTCTGTCAGTAAAATGGAGTACTGGTACTTATCAGTACATCTAAAATACATTAATCAATAAACATTTTAATAATGAAATATTTTATTCAAAGAACTATTAATACTGAAAACAAGTTTATCGCCGAAACCATATGAACACTCACAGCCACACGAACACATTGTTGACATTTTGCAGGGTGGGAAATTACGGATCGAGACTGAAGAGGATACGGTTTGTGCTGTTAAGGTGCTTTTTCTTTCCTTTTCTGCTTCCTTTCCTCATTGCTCCTATTGATGCAAATACAAATTATATCCATATTTAAAAATTTGAGAAATACAAGTGGTCCTGTACATGCTTTTTTTCACTGTAATAAACAGTGTAATTGACAATTGGTGTGAGTTAAATATATGTTAATTGTTAGTACAATCCTTGTCCATTTTAGAATTATTCAGTTTCTTGCCTCATTTTCCATTTGTGGGCGGTCGAAGGTACCATAACAGCATGCATATCAAACTAAATAACTTTGCTTGAGGTCAAGTATTAATTTTCATAAATATATTATTATCTGATTATAAATTATTCTGCTTGTTTTTAGTGACCTGTACAAAGGGTCACTCTGCTTAGATTTATTGGGGTAAATTAGTTATGCAGACTTCAAGTCTTAGTTATTGAATCTTTTCAATTCTAGGCTGCTGGAGTACAGAGTGAAGTCGGTTGCTGGTCAAGATGATGAGGGAAGTGTATTCCACATTGTGTAAGCTGTATACCTGTATATATATAGTTATTCTAGTGCAAATAGAATAGAAATCTACCACAATATTCTGATAAAGCAAAGCTGTCAGCCCTGTGTGACATATAATACAAGACTAGAAAATGTGCTAAAATTCACAGGGGGTGGGGTTAACTTTTTTTATGATATCAGTGAAATTCTATATGTACTGGGAATGTCATCTAAGAAAACAATGCAAAAGTGACACTCAAAGCATGGCGGAATTGTATTTTTGTTCAATAGACTGTAATTTGCCAGACCAACTACTAAAAAACACCCATAGATGAATTATGTCAGCTTTTATTTGTTGGTGAACCCCACTCATTAGTCTGTCAATATTTAAGGTCACTCTCCAAATCACTCGAAATGTTGCATGATTTTATGCTAAGTTGCAAGACGTTTGGCTGTCTTGGATGATTTTCATTAAGGTGCACATCTCTTCTAAATTTAACAACTATTCTCTTAGTTTACCTCAGATAGCTGTTACTTTTGTGTTACCCTGAACCTATTGTATTATTATTTATTTACAAAAAGAAGACAGCAAATAGCTATGTAGTTGAATAACTATACACAGTTTGTGTGTTCCTCAGATATACCAATGCTTTGGTAATGATAACTTAATGTGATCATCATCTTTTATTGTTTTTCAGTCTTAGTGTTATGTATTTATCATGTGGAAGGTGAAAGTGCAGTTCTTGGACAACACTTTTTGCACATAATAAAGCGTCAAGAATTTTTCAGTCAGGGTAAGTAAATATTAAAGTGTCTACTATAGGTTTCTATAATGTGTAAGTTGATGTTAATAATTTTTGCTGACAAAAAAAGGTTTTCATACATTAAAACGGGTTTGTACTGATAGTAAAATTAAGTTTATATCCCTAGATTTAAAGAATATAACATATTGGTTCAGTAGATCAAATTATTATAGCAGAAAATAAACACATGCAATAGCAGAAGATTTGTTAAGCATGTTATGAAGTGAGATTTAGCAAAACTTAAATGCTATCATTACATGTAGGAAATACAGCTGCAATAGAGTTTCAAGCCAAAAGCAAGTCTTATCCAGACCTCCCATCTTGGCTCACTCTAAAACAGCGCACGGAGTTACAAGATGCTTACTTGTTTGGTACACCAAGGGCAGGGGCAGTCAGCACTGACATACAGGTATGGTGTATGTGGTACAGTTTAAAATTATGGACATAATTGAATTTGTTATTTACCATTTATTTACTTAGTGTTTGTTTTCTGTTGCAGGTTGCTGAGAGTTTTTAAATTGGACTCTTGAATTTTAGTATTATATTAACTTTCAGTGTCTCTTATTGCCTTGTAATCATATTCAGTTGCTTTTTCCCTCAATAGTGATCTAATCAGTTTTTTTTAAATAAATCAAGAGTTTCTACTCTTAGTATTCATACTGATGTTAAAGCATTGTCGTAGAATATATTTAGAACTTAGAACCATATCATCTTAAATCACCTTGCTAAACTCCTTTTTTTTCTCAGCTAATTTTACAGTTTCACCAATACATAATGATAGTAATGTTTCACTGCAATATTTCCTTTATGTTGAATTATTACTGATGTGGGTAATGATGTGTTACAGATCATTGCTTTAAACAAAGGGACATATCAGACAGAGCAAGATGCTTTTTCTATAACTGTAGATACCACAAAAGGTAGGTATTTTATTCTGTGTACTTTTTTAACTCTACGTGTATGTATTAATTATGTAAAATTTCAGTTTATCAAACAGGTACACGACCCTAGCTGTCCAGCCTCATGTCGTGGACTCAAGAAAAATATTACGGGGTGTATTGGTTGCATTTCTTTCTTGTGAATTTGCAGCTGATAAAGATCACTTGATGCCCAAAAGCGCTGCCTGCAACTCCCTAATATAATGTTTTTCTTGAGTCCATGGAATGAAGTGAGATACCTCATCCTATTTCATTATAAACCTACTATTGCTTGGTTCACTTGAACCATCAGCACCAAAGAATCTAGACAACAGCCACTCTCAAGGCAAGAAGCCTAAGTAGCTAGCTTTTGTTCATTTATCCATGTATCTTGGGCATTGCAGCAGAGGGTGCTGCCAAAGCACACGTCCTCAGAGAATCAGCTCTGAACCCTGTTATTTTGATAAAGTGGGCTTTAAACAAGGCATGACTATGGGCGGCGGTTTATACAAAAATTCAAAACACGATTAGTCGTCGTCGTTATCAGATTCGTCGAATTCAAAATACGATTAGTCGTCGTCGTTATCAGATTCGTCGAATTGAAAACACGGTTAGTCGTCGTTATCAGATCAGTCGGCAAAATACGACTAGTAGTCATCAAAACGCAACTAGTAGAAGCCAAAACTCGATTTGACGCTAGATGGCGCTCATGTCAGTGGTCTTGGCCACCCTTGTGCCGACTTCACTGTCAGTACCGCGAAAATCTGACACTGACAATTAAGTGCTTAATTTGTGATTGACAGATTGAGGAGAGTTGACAGATGTTGTACTTTTGTAGGCTAGTATGTGATAGATACAATACGAGACGCAGAGCTGTACGTCAAATAAATACAGGGGTACGAGTGCAATGTCGAGTTTTGTACTGCAACTACACTGCCCTTGCGATATTTTACTCATATATGTTAGGGGCCCTTGTGGTCACTTAGTCCTGTGTTGGACGATGGAGGGCAAGGGTGAACACGCCTAACAGCTCCCCTGACCTAAGTCAGCCCTAGCCGCTTCGTGCAGCAGCAGCAGCAGCACCAACACCACTCCCACCACCAGCAGCAGATTAGATACTGAGAAGCCCCCCCCCCCAAAAAAAAAAAAAAAAAAAAAAACA